GCTTCTGAAGGACTTTTCTTGTTATTTTTATTCCTCCAACTATAAAAATGAACCCAAAGACGTTCAGTTTACCGTCACAGAGGAAGAAAGAAGCCAGAAAATACTGACATTTAAGAAGCTGAAGTCCCAGATTACTAGAAAGTTGTTTCCCCACAGAGTGAATCCGGTCTATAGACAATCATCTGGTTTGTTCTGGAGGTCCAACGGTCCTTCCATCGTCTAGAACTGGTTCTGACCATCACACATGCTGGTATGAGCCTGGAAAGTTTACCCAGAATGCACTTTGTAAAGTTTTCTCTGGTGAATGATCAGAACCAGAAACACATCCAGGGTACCAATGATTGTTTCTTACATCCCATAATACTGATGCTACCAGCTGGTCACAGAGAAAATAAATTGGAAGAGTTTTGGATCATTTTGGGAACTTTTGAGGTCGGTTGGATAGATTTTTAATAATAAGTGACTTTTTTGGTCATTTTGGTTCATTTTTAACTCGTTTAAGGCAGGACTTGATTAATTTTAGACTTTTTGTTTAAGTTTTTGGTATTTTGGAGCATTTTTGGGTCATTTTGAAAAAAATGTTTCTAGTTATTTTGGACAACCTGAACCAGAACCACATCCAGGGTACCAATGATTGTTTCTAGGACTCTATGTCATAGACAATAAACTGCTGCAGTCTGACTGGTACCACGATGACACATCCCATAATACTGATGCTACCAGCTGGTTAGAGAGAGAATAAAGATTTAGTGTTCAGGCTGTGACACCTGCATGGATGTAAAACTCTATCTATCTATCTATCTATCTATCTATCTATCTATCTATCTATCTATCTATCTATCTATCTATCTGCTGAGCTGATGAAGTTCTGAGGCTCAGAAACGACAAAATAAAAACTCTGAAACTCTGAAAACATTCACAGTATGAAGGTGAAACTTTGCAAGTTTCTTTAAATGAGCTAAAGTTGCTGCAGATAAAGAACCAGCTGATTATGAGCTGAATGGTCTCTGTGGCTGTCGGCCTGTTTGTGTCTGAACCAGTCCACCACTGTCGGCAGCATTTGTATTCTTCAGCCACATCCGGGGACGATGGGTCTCTGTCGTCGTCGTTGTTGTTTTGGGCATCGGTTGCTGAAAAGTTTGGTTAAATTCTGCCGTAAAGAACTCGAGGGATGAGTGGAGACTCGGCTCTGGCTCGTCGACGCTCCGCTGTGGAAAAACTGAGAGTTGTCTCCGGCTGCTTGCAGGAAATGTGCGACCCAGAAGAGGTCGAGCTGTTCTGCAAACCGAAGGACGGCAACATGCTGACAGTGAGACAGTGAAGCTGCTGGGTCTGCATTTAGAACTGGATGAGTTTTATTTATCAGTTAAAGCTTCTTTAAGGGGAATCTTTTGCTTGACAAGTGTTGTTTTGCTTTAATTCTTTAGAATAATGTCATTTTCTCTGACATTTAATGAGCTCCTGCAGTTAATTAATAGATTTGAAGTGTCCTCACACTTTTTACTCACTTTTTTTGTTTTGTTTTTTTTAGAATATCTTTTATTAGTCCTGTGAGGGAAAATTTGCAGCGTCACAGCAGCAAACTGACTCCAATACGCTATAAATACAATATAAATGAGAAAAACAGAAGAACACGAGGACACTAAGGACAAAAATGTAAGAATATTTACATGCTGCTCATCAATATTTAACAAACCTGATTAATCTAGGGTAATAAAGTGTTGCTCGTCTGTCCCATATTTGCTTCAGAGTTTATTTATTTGTTATTTTGGACCCAAAACTAAGTTCTCCAAAATATTCTGAGTGAATTTTGAGAATTTCACACGTGCCAGACCTGGGAATTTTTCTATTTTCAGCCTCGAAATAGCTTCTTATTTGAGAATATCTCCAGAAATAAAACGCCTATAGACATGAAATTTGGTTTGGACACAGACAGAACAGTGTCCGGCACATCTAAATGACTGAATGGCTCCGATAAAGGACACAATTGTGATTATTGGTCCTTGAACATGGGGGAATAAGTGCTAAATTTTAAAACGTGAGTGCTGTTTTTTCCTCAGAAAGTTCCTGTATATATGTATGGATCCATACTTCTGCTAATATACAGTCTTTGGTCGACATTCCACCGACTTCAGAGGCTCTAACATCAGTAGAGTTTGATGTGAGGCAAATATGAGAAGACAAGGCTCCAATTTTTGTTTGTTTTTTCTTACTGGAAATCTGTCCAAAATGATTCAGAATGTGTTTAAGATGCGATAGAGCTTCTTCAAAATGTGTGAAAAATGTCCAAAATGACAATAATAAACAACTATTAGTCCTTGAAAATGTAAAGAAAAAGTGTAATATTTTCAAACTAAGGTGGTATTGTGGCCCCAGAAAGTTCCTAAATATGGATGGATCCGTATTTTCTATTAAAAAAACAGTCTTTGGTCGACATTTCACCGACTTCAGAGGCTCTAACGTCAGTAGAGTTTGATGTGAGAAGACAAAGTTCCAGTTTTTAGATATTTTGACAGAATGACAACAACAATATTTTTTACTGAATTTAGTTTCGGGTCTCAAATAAAAAACAGTGCAGCAGCATATTTTCTGAATTCTGCCTTAATTAAATGTATAAATGACTTTTATAGTGAAATGAAGCAGCTGGAAAATCAGATACAAAGATGTTTGTCAGATCTGACGGTAAAATACAGACAGAAGATGAAAGTAAGAAACAATAAACTACAAATTAAGATTCATTTAAACTTGATTCTTTCTCTCAGACTCCTAATTTAGGAGAGTTTGGGGAACTCTCTAGATGTTTTATCTGCTAGTTCCACTATTTCAGACTGGATTCGACACCTTTGAGGCCAGTAGGATCAAACTTCTCCTCCCTCTCCTGTGTGCAGGTTTGATCATGTTCATATGAGATTTAAGGGAATTTCTGACCAGAACTTTCTTTGTTCTGGTTTCTCTACATGCAGCTGCCAGAGTTTGAAGTGTGTCGTCATCTTTATGTGTCGGTTCAGAGACGATGGGCATCACCAGAACTCTAACGTTCAGATGTAGAGAAGCACACTGGCTGCTTTTCTCTGCTTTTATTGTTTATTAAGGGGTTAAAATATCCATATGTGCCTTGATGGGTCCTCTGATTTTAGCATATTTATCAAGTAAAATCAAGTTTTAAGCCTTTACTGTGACCCAGTGATCAGACAGGTGTAGGATGTGCAGGTCTGCTGGGTCAGTTTGTGTCAATTCAGGCAGAATTCAGGATTTTTTTTTGGTCATTTGCTCCACGTACCTGCACATTTCAGGTGTCCATCTCTATCTGGTCACATCTGTCGGTGCCATCAAAGCTCCAGCTGCTATCAGGGAGGAAAAGACAAACCAGATGTTTAGAGCAACAGAGACGTTCAGATGGCTTTGGAGAATTTGCTTCTGTAAATAAATGGTGTTCTTTTGGTGCTTCTAGTCGTTGCTTCTCTGTGCAGTTTATTTTAAATGCATGTATGGGAACACTTGGACAAAGTGAGCCTCACGTGTTGGCACATTTCAACATGGAAGCAGCTTGTAGCTCTGCACATATAATAACAACATACAGACGCTTCTGGACACCAGTGTTTGTCTCCTAGCAGTTAATCCACGTCACCATTTTGTTTGTTGGAACTTTTTCTTGTCAAACTTGCCACACATTCAATTCTACGGATGTTAGAGCCTCAGAAGTTGGTGAGCTGCCGACCAAAGACTGTATTTTTAGTTGGAGATGTACAAACATCCATATAGACACACTGACAGGAACACTGTGGGGACACAAAACCACCCTAGTTTGGAAATTTTGCACTTTTTTTTCCATTTACAAGGGTCAGTAATTTAAAAATCTGTCCTCTTCTGGAGCTATTTAATCATTTAGATCTGTTGGGAACTGTTCTGTCTGTGTCCCCGTGGAATTTCACGGCTGTTTTATTTGTGGAGATAATGAACAATTAAATGACTTCACAGTTAAGATGTTTTATTTCTGAGGGTCTGAAAGTATGAAATTCTCTAAATTCAGCTAAAATATCTTACTGAGCTCAGTTTTGGATCACAAATAACAAATAAATAAACTTTTATTGAAATCTGACACAGTGGAGCAACACTTTCATCTGAATTATTCAATTAAAGGAAGTTTATTTTGGAGTCAAACCATAATTTTGGGGACTTGGAATCAACTCGTGAATCTACAAGATCCAAGAAAGACAAAACTACGTGTTCATATATATAAAACAACAACAACAACAACAAAAAACCTCAATTAATAAATGACACTTCTTTTTTTATGTGCATTTCTAGCCACGCTGGATCCACTTTAAGGTTTAATTCCTAATGATCAACTGCGCAACGCTTCCACCTAAAAGCATGTAAATATTGATCAGCTGACGTTACAGCGCCTGCACTTCATCACATCGTGAAGCCTACTTTAGCAAAGTGGCAGCTTATTGAGCCGAGCTCCTTCCGGCGGATTTTAACAGCCAACGTCCTCGTATAAGAGGCACCTGCAGGTTTATTTCATTCTAAACTGTGATCTCTCAGAAACAGCGAGAGGACGTGTCAGATTCGGGCTCGCGTCCAGCTGATTTTGTTGATGGAGGAGGGAGGTCTGCTGTGATGATGGGCTAATCCCCTCGCATGCGTACGAGAGCTCGTGCCAAAAGGGAAGGCTCAAAACCAAACCGCCATCTGTCCGACGGACACAGTTTGTTCTGACGGCAGCGACGCGGCGCAGCGCTTTTTACGCACAGCGGCACCGAGGAATCACGGCAGAGTCCGAGCAGCCCCGCGTCCATTTGTCCTGGTTTTACGAGCAGCTCGAACCTACCTTCACTTTTATTCTATTTAAAGTCGACGCAGACTTTTCCAGAGCTGCCAAGTTCGTAGATTTCTCGCTTTTGTCGCGCGTAAAAGCAGCTCGGTGCGTCGGGAAGCAGCAGCGCTCCGCACCGAACAAAAAGTCTCTTTTTTGATTTCGGAGCTGATTCAACACGATGGAAAACTTCACCTCGGCTCCTCAGACGAACCAAACTCTGGGGATTTGGACGGACTACAGCATCCAGTACAAAGTGATCAGCAGTTTGCTGCTGTTCGTGATCTGCGCTTTGGGGATCGTTGGCAACGTGATGGTGATCCTGGTGGTCCTCACCACCAAACACATGCGGACTCCCACCAACTGCTACCTGGTCAGCCTGGCGGTGGCGGACCTGATGGTGCTGACGGCGGCCGGGCTGCCCGCCATCACCGACAGCATCTTCGCGTCCTGGGTGTTCGGACACTACGGCTGCCTGTGCATCACCTACTTCCAGTACCTCGGCATCAACGCGTCCTCCTGCTCCATCACAGCCTTCACCATCGAGCGCTACATCGCCATCTGCCACCCGATCAAAGCCCAGTTTCTGTGCACGTTGTCCAGAGCCAAGAAGATCATCGTGCTGGTCTGGGCTTTCACCTCCGTCTACTGCGTCATGTGGTTCTACCTGTCGGACATCCAGCAGCTGGTCTACGACAACGTCACCGTGGTCACCTGCGGCTACAGGGTTCTCAGGAAGTTCTATCTGCCCATTTACTTCTTCGACTTCGGCGTGTTCTTCGTGCTGCCGCTGCTGCTCTCCGCGGTTCTGTACGGACTCATCGCAAGGATCCTGTTCCTCAACCCGCTGCCCTCCGACCCCAAAGACAAGAAGAAGAACGGACACAACAACCACGTCGGCAGCAAGGGCGGCAGCTGCAAGAACTCCAGACACTCGAGCTCCACGGCCACGTCCCGCAGACAGGTGAGTCTGCGCGAGGTGGAGAAAATCTGCGCAAATGGCACAATGCGGGCACGCGACTCCTAAAACAGTGTTTCACTGTAACTGAAGGGGGGAAAAAAA